TGCTCAAATACAAAATACACGATTCAGACAAATTATGTCTTCTTATTGCTTTGCCTATATATCTAATAAACAAATTATTAAACTAAAAGGAAACTAACTTCTGATCGCGAACTTAGACACAGGACAAAGCTGCCCATTGAGAAAACTATCTTAGGAATTCAGTTATGCCTCACATCTACTGTCTTTGAATTTCAGGGCAAAATATAGAGATAGACAGAAGGTGCAGCAATGGGGTGGATCACCAATATTCCCTATGGTAGCAGATATCTTTATGGATAGCTGGTAGAGGAAATATTGCTCTTAATACATTTAATCCTACTCCAAAATTATGGTGGAGATATGTGGATGACACTTTCACTGTGTTAAAAACAGAACATATCACAACCTTCTTGACACATATAAACTCAATAGTAAAGGGAATGAAATTCACATTTGAATCGATAAATGAACAAGGGGAATTAGACATGATGTTAGATTGTAAAATAAGACGAATATAGGAAGAAGGTAAACTGCAGACTAGCGTTTATAAAAAGCCAACACATTCTAATATTGGACATTTTGACTTTAATTCATGTCATCCATTGTCTGCAAAGGCTGGCTTAGTTAAATGTCTAATAAACCGAGCAATAGCACTAAGTAGTACAAGAAAAGACCTAAATGATGAAATGAGAGAGATAGAAGAAGCGTTGGTGTCGAATAACTAACTATCCTATAAAATTCATCAGGAATATGAGAAAAGGTCAGGAGCAAAATCAAAATAATGGTAAAACTAATAATGATAACATAAATAAGAGAGAATATACGGCATCTACAGTTTTACCACATACGGAGGGGACGTCTGAGACCCTATGAAGGACACTTAATAAAGCAGGAATAAGGGTGACACTCAAACGCACAAAATCACTCAGAGACAAGCTGTGTAGGTTAAAGGACAAGGTGGACCCAATTAGACAAAATAATATAATTTACAAAATACCCTGCAATGAATGTCAGTGAGGTCAGCTACATGGGTCAAACTAGTACATCAGGAGTAGGCAGATTGTCAGAATATAATAAATTAGCTAACGTTAGAATGAATGATCCCACCCGTGAAGATAAGTAATTTAGAAAAAAGCTCAGCAATAGCACTGCATGCATTAATAGACAACCACACAATAGGGTGGGTGAGAAAGAGTCAAAATTCTAAAAAGTAATATAGGTAGGTGGAAAGAGAGATTGATGGCTGAATCCTTCCTGGTTCATTGAGTCTACACCCAACACATGCAACAGAAATGACTCAACGCAAATACCAGAAATATGGAAGATATTATTACTGCCTGTCAGTCAAATCAGAGGAGGATAATAAATAATCTTAAAATTCTATTTCAATTCACACACACCATAACATTCTAACAAGTTACTTATTTTGACTACAAAAAACACTCGTCTTATTTCCCATCTGACAGTATTTGAGCAATAACACTGTACATTATCTCATATTACTGATTTTATTCAAGTATCTAATCATCAATTTCACTCATGTATATAAATAAAGCAAGAAAGTTGTGTGTTTAAGTGACTTGATATAATTATGAGCAATAAATTGTGCTTGAAACATGGTCATCAGTTAATATTACTGTACAGCAACACTGTGTGACACTTTATCAAAATAAAATCTTATCCATACTTATATCAATTATTAAAGATGTTTCTAAATTCTGGATAATGACTAAAAGTATCTTCTAGATGCTCACTTACCATGAACTTCATGTCCCCAGCCAACACTGATACACTCTTTGCCCGGTTCATCAGCATTATCATTTCTCGACGGTAGACAAGCGATATTCACATACTTTGATAATATTACAGAATCTTTTAACTGGATTAAAGCGATATCATGAGCACTACCAGTTGCTTCAGCTGTTAATTAAAACAAATTGAAAAATGTTAAACGAATGAATAAACGAATAACTTTGAAAAGTTAGAGGAGTGTACACAGACGTACAGAAAAAAAGTAAAGTCAACACTCATAGACGGTGATTATAAGTTCTACATTCAAGTGCATTAAATGCTGTCTTTATGCCGCTGATTTATACTTAGAATACTCCAGCTGAAGTATGACTCTCAAGAGATGGTTTGTAAGGATTAAATTTGTTTTTTACGAGTTTGACCACGGATTGATATCAGTTAGAGAACCATTGGAAACCAGCACTGGAGTACTGAACAGCTATTCCATCCTGGTTTGGGAATCATTGGCAGCAAGTATCCACCGCCAGGGCTCGAACCCAGGATCTTCCAGTTAAAAGACATAGTCGTATGCAATTCAGCCACTGGAACCGGATTCAATGGCCAGTGCATGAATTCTAACTTCTACCAATTCGTGATTTAGCTTGACCACCAACCAACCAATTTCATCGATGGGACATCCATCCTCACACTTGACTGGATGAACCTCACTGGTCACGATTTATCACTAGAACTCCAGGAAACTCCATCCTGTAGCAAGTCACCAGCGAGCATCAGATTAATTTTCAAGAGTTGGTGTGTAAGGACTAAATTTGTTTTTACGAGTTTGACCACGGATTGATGTCAGTTAGAGAACCATGGAAAACCCACACTGCAGTACTGGACAGCTGTTTCATCAGCCTAGTTTGGGAATCATCAGCAGTACGCACCAACACCATGGAGTACGAAACCAGGACCATGATTCGACAATGAGTTAATGTATAAACGGTGTTCACCTTTATGTCAATCTACTCTTATGCATTCTTTTGTGAAGCTGATTACATTGAATATTCTCCATGAACGCGTAGCTGAGCATTACCCAGTTTGCTTTACTGACAACGAGCATGGTATGAAGAAGTCTTTCTTCTATGTACAACTTTAAACAGTCATTTCATGCAGCTCCATACGATTTATTTTTTAAAGATGTCTACAGGGTGAAATTCAGTCACTCTACAATGTCACGTTTCCGCCACTTTTGTAGAGTGAAAACCCCATCCATACACTGACAGAAAACTACAGTATGTATCCAGGATCGTTATGTTAGATTCCTTCTTCGACCAATTGAATACATCAAAGTGATTGAGTCAGTGCTTACCAAGGTAGTGATAAGTTAGTAAAAGTCTCTTCTGCACACGCACACAATTCAGGTTTTCGTCTACGAATGGTCACAGTTTCAGCGATTCTAAGTAGACTTATCTCTTCAGTTCTTTAAAGGATTCTACTGAATTGGTTCGGTGTCTTTTCTCAGTCAGGAGACGAGCTATGGCACTATCTAACAGACAAAGCACCTCAAGACTACTTTGAATCGCTGAAACTGAGACCATCAGCAGAATAAAACCTGAATTGTGTATGTTTGTGTGCAAAAGAGACTTTTACTAACTTATTACTACCCTGGTAATTACTGACTCATTCAATTTAACTTATTGAAACTTCATTTTATTTTATTTCGTTTCGCTTCCAGGAACACCAACATATAATCTATCTAATGAACTTTTCAGGAAATTAAATTACCTAACAGAATCATGCGACTATTCTATCAATTCGTCAATCTAATTTTTAGAGAAAGTCAAAAACATTTAAGTAGAAGACAATGAAATAATGGTGTCCTTTGATTTCACAGCATTATATACTTCAATTAGTCCAAAACTAGCAACAGAAACTATGCAACAATTACTCTATAGTGATGAAAAAACAAAACCACAATTATCAACTTGGATAGAACTCATAAAATTATGCCTTACAACATACTTCCAGTTCAATACTCGAATATATGAACAAATAAAAGGAACAGCAATGGGATCGCCCATATCAGGATTAATAGCTGAAGCCGTTATGCAAAGATTAGAGTTAATAGCTCTACCTATAATTAAACCGAAAATCTGGATACGTTACGTTGATGCTACATTTGTAGTAATTAAGAGAAGTGATTTAGAATATACTCATAAATTAATAAACAACATATTTGAAGACATCAAATTCACAAGAGAAGAAGAATTAGATAACAAAACCCATTTTTAGATGTCTTAATCGGGAGAACCAACACAGGAGATTTAGAGACACAAGTATATAGAAAATGCACGCACACAGATCAAATACTCAACTATAGTAGCAATAATCCAGTTACTCACAAACGAAACTGTGTGCAGACATTGTTTAAAAGAGTTCAAACACATACTGTAGCACTACAGAGTTGAAAAGAATGGAAGAAGAGTACCTACAAACGGTCTTCAAAAAGAATAGTTATCAACAAAATTTCATCAAAAAGTGTTTAAAGTCGAATCAAAACACCAACAAGAAACCATCATAAAAGACCACAAGAAAATTCATTCTACCATACATGAGGAATATCTCTGAAATAACAGCTAGAATAATGAAACCGTTAGATAAAGATATAGCACACAAACCAGTGAAATCACTTAATTCGATATTATGTAAACCAAAAGATCCAACAGAAAAAGGGGATACAATTAATACCATTTACAAAATAAATTGTATGAACTGCAACAAACATTACATCGGCCAAAGTGGGAGTCCCCTTCGAATTAGAATCCAAGAACATAAATCAGCCGTGAAAAGACATGATATGTATTCTTTAGTATCAATGCATACAGACAATTATGGTCATCAATTTGATTGGGATCATGTCAAAATCTTAGACAGAGGAAACATGAAAAGTGCTAGAGAATTCCTAGAAGCCTGGTACTCAAACGAAAATGCAATTAACAAACACGTTAATATAGATGAAATATACCAACTAATAAAAAGTAAATCAGGTGACCAGAAAGTTTAAAATCCAAGTCAATAGAAAATGGTCAATACATATGTAAAGATAGTTACCAGGAGACGCAATTATATCACTCATGAAGAAATTTAAATAATTTCACTTTGTGCTAAATATGGCGCTAAAGATGTTGTCCAGAAGGACGACGAAAGCTTCGTAACTAAGCCAACCAGCTCAGAGAACCATAGTAATTGTGTATCATAACTTTATAAATGCATTTATCTATTTTCTTACTAATTCTTTATATCTTTGTTTCCTTGACCTATTTCATTTCGGCTGAATAATTTTGAGCTATGACTATGTAGTTGTCTCCACTAATGCTAGAATTACCATGAAAATTTCAGAATATTCATCTACGTAAAATATATTTAATATCTCTGAATGTGAATTTGATGTTCGCTGACGACTGACCATGTTCAGGAATGTAGTTACCTGGATTCCAGTGAGAGGTCATGACCGTTGAGGTAGAGCAGATCGGGAATGAGGCCATATACTCGCCACCAATGATATTGGCTAGTGTCAGTCGCGCTATATCGTGCATGAATTGGCAGAAGTTGGAATTCATGCGTTGGCTATTGGATCGAGTCCCAGTGGCTGCGAATGATCGACTAGCTCTCCTTGTAACTGGAAGGTCCTGCGTTTGAACCCTGGTTGTAGCTGCATACTACTGAAGAGTCCCAAACTGGGGGGGGAAGATATCCAGTAATCCTAGGTTTTCCAATGGATCTTTAACTGATTTCAACTCATAATCATACCTATAATCAATCGTATCCCTACAAACTAACAAGGTTATTTTACTCTCAAAAAAAAACGAACTGGTTATTCAGTTAAATAATATTTAAACTGTCATTTCACACTTATTGTTTATACACAGTTAGTTATTCTGGATGTTAATTATTATTATTCCCTTGCGTTCCGAGTGGAACATCGGGCTTCAACAACACATCTCCAATTTGTTCTGTTTCCTGCCATCCTCTTCAGATGGGTCCAAGGTTGATCAAACTCTCTCCTTTCTTCCTCACACGCTCCCTTCTATGTCACACTCGTACTGACGACCCACTTGTCGCTACCCATTCGGATTCTGTTTGAACAATGGCCAACACTGCGTGCGATGTCATTCAGCGGCCTGTGTATACTCCGTCCATCTCCACTTTTTACTACCTATTTGTTGAGCTATCGGCTCTCATATGTTGGTTTGTTCCAAGCCAGAGTTTCTTGCTGCTTATTCTTTCTGGCCATTTGACCTTTAGTATGGAGCCAGCGAAGTGGGCAGCTCTTGGTGAAAGTCTGCAACCTGTTGGGAATCCTTCCTGTTACATGCTGTCCAAATCTGACCCGTATAGAAAAAGAAACCTCACACTGCTGTTGAAAATGCGAATCTTCTTCCTTAAGCTGCAAAGTGCAGAAGATTTCCAAACTGGTTGCAGGTTGATGAAAGCTGGCGTATCTTGCCTTTCAGATTCTGACTGGCTTTGACATCTTCATCCATTCTGACTGCCTGTAGTTGAAGCGATGCTTCTTGGCCAGATAAGTGAAGGAGGCACCGCTGAGGGAAATCCTAAGAAATAAAATGAATCCAAATCATCCCCCAAAAGATGTTCTTATCGCATTATTCAAACCGTATCATTTTACGAAACTTGTCAAGCAATTATACCAACTGAGTGCCTTAATAGCTGACATATTAGTGAGTAAATGGTTTCAAAATAAGCTGAGCTAGAATTCGCCTTCCTCTTTCAGCTAAGTGAAACCCACTACTCCATTGTTTAGCACTCCTCGAACGAGAGTAGCGGTAATCAGGTGCTTACATCACTTCGATCTGGCTAGCAGGAACCACCACGAAATGTGATTTATAACAAACTACTCATGCTAAACAAATCAGTAGTTTATAGCTTAAAGCATTTATGCTTGCTTCCTTGATTTCCATATACGAAGTACGACGCAGACCATATACGGTGACCTAACTATTTTAATTTCCAATTGAAACTTCCGTGAATTCCAATCTTGATCTGTGCAACTTGTGAAGATTACCGATTCACAGACTGATAAACTGGTGCCTACTAATTCGTTATTGAGTGACAATAAAATAGGTTATCCCTATTATTGCATTTTGTCCCTCTGCCTTCCGAGTGAAGCCTAAGGCTTCCAGCTTGAGCCCTGAAGTTCCAGTAACGAAAGTGTTGCTGCGTTTACCGGCTGGAGTTGCTAGCCACATGTCCAACCTTCCCTCTTTACCAGGGCTAACTAACAGCTAAGCAAAGTTAAGATTGAGTGAGTCAGGCGAGGATCGACCCCGAAGCATGTGGACGCTCAGTTATTATCCAACTATCGAACCACTGACGCATAAAGTTAACTATATGCTGCATCGCGAGCAGGATAAAACCCTGCTCTGGAAGATCACACTGGATTCTGAGTCCAGAGCATTAACCACTCGGCCATCGTAACATAGAACCTAAGATTACCGGGCTATTTAAAAACATACACTCGGAGGGTCTCTAACATGAGACATTTCGGTTACACAGCGAGTTCTATCTACTGTGATCCGACCCAGTAGCCAATTCGTGATTTTGATCTCAACAATTTTAACCGGAAGTTTCAGAGTTTGATTCACTCGTGGTGCATAAGAAAGAAGTGTTCAAAAACTAGGGTAAACAGCTGTTCAGTTCTCCATGGGTTTGTCAACTGATGCCCGCAAGTGATCGTGAATATGACAACTCCTCTTTTATGTCATCATACGCTTTACAGATGCTAGTGTGAAGCTAAAGAGTAAAATAAATTTGCTCCCCAAAAGAATTATCTGTCTGATTGTTTTAACTTGTGCCTAGATGGGGATGAATTCATGAATCCATGTTAATCTAGTTTAATGGGATATAAATTCTAATCCATTTCCTACGAGAACTACTTACTTCTCTTTTACTTCTGCCCTTGTTTTAGCAGATATATTGATGTCCAACCATGAAAGAACAAATTTGAAGCATGCAATCGTCATAACAACTTTTTATTGTCAATATGTCGATGACACATTTATAGTTTGCAACAATGAAAGTCATGCGTCCTGCCTACTAAGAATATTCAATGATGCACATACCGATATTGAATTTACTATGGAACATGCAAATGATGGAAAGTTCCATTTCCTTGACATTGCTATGTAACACCTAGAAGACGGTAGTCTTTAGAAGCCAATTTATTGAAAGCCTGCTTGGAAAGGACAATGCCTAAATTGTAATAGTTTTCGTCCAAAACGATTTACAGGAGGACTCGTCAAGACTGTGTACTATAGAGCTGGGATATAATGCTCTATAGAGAAATTATAGGAAGAATTTATGTCTCTCGAAAAGATGTTGAAGAGCAACGGTCACCCTCAAAAGTTCATTGACAAGTACGGAAGTTCTGAAGGCTCAAATGTCAAGCAAAATGTCACAGTGGAAAAAAGCCCGTCTTCATTCAGCTTGATTTCAAAGGTGAAAATATTACAGCACTGCTCAGCAGAAGATTGAGGACGTCACTAAGCAGAGCCTATCCTGCAGCTAGCTAAGCTGGTTCCCATCTGTCGAACAACTTGCTCTTTGGTGGAATCAAAAATCGATAGATATCCTTCTCATGTTAACTCCAACTGCATATACAAATTTACATGTATCTGTGGGAACAGTTACATTGGAAGAACAGAAAGAAGAAGGGCATATCTACGATTTTCTGAACATGTAGCAAAAAGCCTACGTCTGAAGGGAACAAATGCTTTCAACAGTGTTATTGTCAGGCATCTCCTTGACACACATCATGAGGTGGACGTCGCAAAATCGTTCAAAATTATCAATAGGCAAAAGAGTTCAATTCTCCTCAAATTTGCCAGAGCGATCTCCATCGAGCGCCTGAAACCCGATTTATGCGTTCTGAAAGAAGCAGTTATCAGTCTTTCTTTGCCCTGGTAATTGGATATTTTCACCTCTCTTTCATCTGATTACGTAATGTCGAAAGTTTCCATTGTGAATGATCATTATCCTTCGGGATAAAGTGTTTATTATTTTTATTGTATATATAATTACTGTATGCATATATTGATCGATTGATTTTTGTTTGGAAATGAACTGTTTGCGCAAGTATGTTAAAATTGTTTCTGTAGATGTATTTAATAATGACTTAAGCCTGTAAGCAGCAGCCGAACTGATGAGAAGCCATCGAAATAAGCAATGATGGTACCACTTTATTCTGGAAAGCCTCTCGTTCTTGCTTTATTCAAAACATTCTAAATATATATACTTATTTTAATGCTATATTGATGAATTAGGACAAAAAGTCAGGTAGAGAGAGGGAGAGAGCGAGAGAGAAGCGTGACACCGAGAGACAGGCAAAATGGAGGCATAGATGGACAGAGAAAGATATCGAAGAATCCATACAAAGAGAAAAACAACGACAGCTCACAACTTACAGTCGTATTCAGGATGTACGTAGATTTTTTCAACTTCCATATCGTAGTGTTCAACAGTTTCATTTAGCATATCATGTTCACCAATGCGTATAATCCAACTTGATGGATTCGTTGATAAATGAGGATAAATGTGATTCGGACTGAAAGTGAAAATAGATACAATAATAATACATGCATACATATACGCCTAGCTGATTCGTAAAATTCTTGGATAATCCCCATCCAGGCATTGATAAAAACAAAACAAGTAGTTCAGTCAGGAGTCTCTTTTCGGCGAATTTATTTTCGTAGCTGTACAATCGCAAATATGTATGTCATTTTGTATGTATGTCTACATACAGTAAAGGTCCACTAAAGCCGAGCATTGACAAGATTTAACAAGCGATATTCCCAAGAGAAGGATCACATCATCTCTAAGAAGAATATCCTTTGCAGCAATGCTAGGAATTATGTTCTCCATTCGTTCACTTATCTGCAGAAGCCTCAAGGTCAAGATCCCGCATTGACCACTTCTGTGTGCATTTGTCAGTTCACCTGATGCTCTGGAACCAGGTTCATTGGCCGTTCGACGCGCACCCTGTGCAAGGGGATTCAGGAACACTATCCAGCATGGTTGCGAAAAGGCAATAGTTATGCAATAAGGAGTGCGATAATTCCATCTCAACAAACGCCTCCTGCTTCAGAGTAACCTAAAGAGTCAAGAATAACCTACCAAAGGCAATATGATTTCGTCTTCTTTGTATCGCTGAAGCTCTGGCAATTCACATAGAAAAACCGGAGCTGTGCATACAAAAGAGAATCACTCAACCAGTTCTACTGTTATGGTACCAGCTTTGTTGATTTTTGATGACTAAATCTTGTTTTTTGCCTAATTCTTCAATTGCTTATAATTCTTGTATTCATTTAGAACTCTAATTTCGTATTCTCTACTTTGTTCATATATGTATCCTGAGTAAAACTCACTCATCAAACTATTCATATTATTACATAACTTCTTTAAATAACTATTTGTGACAACTCAGCACCTTTGTTACTACACTAGCTTGATTAACACCCAGTTTTCTTGACCGTTTTTGTATTACTTAAGTTCACCTAAAACTTACAAATTCTCACTTGTTTAGTTAAAATAAACATAACCAAATGTATTTTTGTTTGACAAACTTAACGTACACATGCATATGAAATAACACAGGTATATTTGCGATTCGTAAAATGTTTGATTGATAATGCTAAATGTTACTCAACTGAAGAAAAAGCTTTTGAGCCAACATCTTTATTGGATGTCCTTTTCACTGCTTCCAAGAAATTTCAGGAATATCTGCGCAGGAGTGGTTTTTTATACAGATTTTTCCAAAAGTTAGATTAAACATTATTGAGTTATCTAAGTAATGCTCACTCAACAAATGGCTGTAAGACAATGTCACGTGTCAAGTGATTCATAACAGAAAAGAGAACCATGCCTTTAAAGTAAAGACAAGAGAACGAGAACGAAGCCACCTAATATCACCGATGATATTCCTGATTGTCGTGGATTGAAGTATGCGTCAGACTGTGCGTGGAGAGTGAGAAGATAGAAATATGCTGGGCCACCAATAAGAAGACTCTAGAAGTTCTGGAATTTGAAGACAATTTATATCTAACATCATGAATACTTGAAGACTTGCAGGCGAAAACCAACAAACTGGCAGAAGACGCTGGCAGCGAAGACAGGACTACTGGTGAGCATAGAGAAGATGGAGGTGATGAAGATTACCAACCAACAACCACCAACACCAACTGCTCTCAACGGGAAAAATTTGAAAGAGGTCACTGCCCTTAGTTATATGGCCAGGAAGCATCGTTTCAACTACAGGCAACAGCATGGATTAGGATGTCGAAACCGGAATCGGAGAGGCAAGGCAGACTCTCCTCATTCTAAAATCAGTGTGGAAATCTTCTGCACACAGCACAAGGAATAAAATTCGGATTTTCAGCACCGATGCTGAGTCAGCCAGTTCTTTCATATGGGTGAAAGACTTGAAAAACGCGTCACTTCACTTCATACTGAAGATCAGATGTCCAGAGAGGGTTAGCAGCAAGAAACTCTTGGAAAGAAACAAACGAAAACCTATTGCTCAAGAAATATGAGGAAGAAATTAGAGATGGATCGGATACATACTGAGAAAACCGTCAAATGACGTCGTGTGTTGAGCAAATCGTCGAGAGGAACCTGAATGAAAAGCGGTGATTTGAGCGTGTGTCCGAGTGTGACGTGGAGGAAATTATCCGAGGAGGAGATGTTAGTCCATGAGGGGATGAAGAATCAAATAATCCAGATCCCCACAAATCCTTTAGTCTAAATATCAATCTCCAGCTCATCAATGACTATTGGATAGACGTCTTGAAGTTGTACTGCTAAGTTTTGATGAGTGACGTCCACCAGTTCGAAATGAATTGCATGCTCATCCTGGGTAATATTTAAGCGTAGCGCTATATCGCCGGCTGACCAAAACTGTAATTCACTGGTCATTCTATCGCCACCCAAACAACTGAAGGGTCAGCAAACTTTGTGTCGTAACCTGAAAGTCCCAGGTTTTATCTCTTGTGGGGTTGTAGGTGTACATATATGTATTTTGAAAAAAGAAACAATAGTCTGTGTATGGGAAGTTCATTTAAGCATGAACTGTTAAACAACTCCAGTTTCTCTTTTCTCCCATAATTACATGTTTATGTTATATCACTCCTTGCGTATACGTTTGAATTATCATCTCCTTTCTTAATGTTATGCATTTTCTTGCGTGTTTTTTACACTACTTTTATAATATTCAGTAGTAAATGTTATTAATGAAGACTTTTTCAAGTCGGATAGCGGTGTCAGCTAAACAAACACTTAAGACAGGGAATCACAGGGCAGCTATCACATCCTAGTTTGAAAATTTTCAGCCATGCTATCTCACCTGCTCACCATGAGATCATACTCAAGACCTACAGATTATGGTTCCAACAAGTTGATGATTCGAATTCAGTAACTCGCTTATTCTAACTTCTGTCATTATCACTATCGCCATCCAGTGACATCGATGGGATTGCCTTTGCCGTGATATCTTGAACATCCAGTAGTCAGTGGGAAACTGATATTCAGATTATAGATTACTGATATGATCTACATAGAATTTCATCTAAAACCCTAGGAAACCCTTCATCTGAATTTAAATTATTCACCAGTAGCTTAATAAATCGAAATGCCTTAGTTGTATTTGCTCATTCATGCTACTGTAAACGATAACAGTGGTTGAAAACCCCTTACACTGGCTCACCTGAACCATATCGTATTCTCTTTAAAATGTATAGTTTACTTCTACAGTAAAGTTATCAATGTCGTTTAAGATCACTTCCGTTCCCCATTGATTGCTTATGTTTGACTAAAAGGGTTGTCCAGTTTGACATGCCAACTCCCAGTACGGACGATATCTGTACACTAATATGATGTTACTTCTGTGGATGATGACTGACAGTGAGTTGCGAGACACGCGTTTCGTCTTATTCTACACTCATCAACCCGATTTACATGTATCTTCAGTGAGTGATTGTTTCGCTTACACAGGCTCTTAAACATGTTAAGTATATGTGACATTTGAAGTTATTTGGTGGATGAGCATGAGCACTGGAATCCAGGATACTCATTTCTTCCTATTTGTGACTTGCCAACTAAATGTGCTTGCATTCCTCAGTGAGTGATAGCGTCCGAACTGAGACTAGAACACGGGACACATCGTTGGAATGTTATTCCCACTTGGCGTCACCAACTCTACCATCAAATCGAATGTTCAAACGGATATATTGTATGCAGTATTAAACTGTGGGAATATGTGAACAAAACATTCTGTTCGCAAACACTCGCTGTATCACACCACCAAAATATTAATTCAACCAAGTAGCTAGCCAGAAATCACCTAGTTTCAATGGATTCGACTCTCTGAGCTATATCAAACTGCGTCCACTGCTGATGAGCTCAGCCCTAAGATGAGTGTAACGACAGTATAGTCTGGCAAAAAGTACCGATTGATGTGAGTCGTATGCAACTAACTACTCATCTCAGTCAATCAGTAATATATAGCGTCAAGTAAAATACACCAATTTTTGAAAATTCATCTGATACTCACTATCGACTAGCTGAATGGTTTTATTATTTGCGAAAGTAATAATTAGAGCGAGAAATATGTAGTTTTTCCAACTGCATTTCTATTGTCACCAATTTGCTTTTTTTCGGTGTTATTTCCACATGAATTAAATGCCTTTTATTCACCGAAACACTTTTAGTTCTTTTTTTTTTAGAATTCATTATGGTTTTTGTTTTACTCAATTTCCACAGAATACTCCTTTTATTTTCAAATCAATTAATATAGTGTGAAATATTGTCAAGTGTGAAGTACAGACCAATTTTTAAACAAATTGTATTCATCAATTGAATGATTGTTTCGGATGATAAATCCCGATGAATAGGCACAAACAGAGACATTTGGACAAATTCAATCACCGCTGTGTACATTAATGTCCATTCACAAATGGATTAGTCCACTTTTAATGATGAGTTCTGCAATTCAAAGAAGTTATATAATCACTAAAAACCAGAGAGCAATGTATACTTGTTTCGTTCTAGTCTGTAACTTTTCAGCAAATCCGCATCGTGATCCTACCAGGGATGGTAGCCAGTGAAGTTCATAATAACAAAGTGAATTAGATGCTCATCTATGATACTGACCGACGGTAGCGATTTATCATTGAATCGTAGTGCCTAAATGGTCAACTGTCTGTTGTCACAGGGGAAGAGTCCTCGGTAGGAGGAGGCTTACTGAAGTGTTCCAAACTAGGACGGAACAGCTGCTCAGTGCTCCCTGTTTTTTAAATATTATGTGATTGATGTTGGTTAAAGATCGGATCTAGACTGAAAGCATTCATGACCTAAGTTGCTCAACCATTAGATAATTGGATTTACTTGGTTGGAGGATTTCATCATGAGCTGACATCAGTTAGAGAACCATTAGAAGACCTGGCATTGTTGGAAAGCAGTTTCGTCCCCATTTGGGACTCCTCATCAGTGCGCATCCACCACAGAAGGTAAGAACCCAGGACCTTCTGGTTACAAGACTAGAGATTTTGTGGAACATTAAACCACTGAGAGACGATCCAATGGCCAGCCTATGAATTCCAACTTCTGCCAATTCACGACATAGCGCGACCACTTCGAAATATCTTCTTTGATGAGTTACTGCCTCACCTTCAACCTGCTGTATCCTACCAGTCACGGCTTCCCATTAGAACCCCAGGTCAATTGCCTGAATAGAGACAGTCTCTAGTGAGCATCAGATCAATTTTAAAGTATTGGTTTTGTAGGGATTTTATTTGTTTGATTGGTGGGAGGATTTCATCATGGGCTGACATCAACACTGAACAGTCTGAAAATAGGACAGAACAGCTCCTCAGTACTCCCAGATAGCTTTCCAATGGTTCTGTTACTGATGTCAGCTCATGATGAAATCCTCCAACCATTCAAAAAACAAAATCCCCACAAAACCAATACTTGAGAATTGGATTTACAGCAAATGAGTGTATGTTTGAATCGAGAGGTAAATAATCATTTATTTTGAGTAAAGTCACGTGTGTAAATTATGTTACTCTAGGTGCTTCCACTAATGCTTAAGCCAAAGAAACTTATTCGTCAATGGAAGATACTTTAAAGGGTTTATCTAAGAATTACCAGATGTCGCTGTTCGTTCACATCACTTGTGTAACAAAGAATATTTTCACTATCTACCGGCTGAGCGAGGTCTGAGAGTGCTTCACCCGGAAACCGAACACCAGACCACGTGCGTTATTGACAGGAATTCTGCACCGCCTAGAATTCCGAAACCAGAATCGGAAGGCAAGGCAGACAGATATTAATCATTCTGAAATCAGTTTGAAAGTTTTATGCAGTCAACCAGCGTACAGAACAAAATTCAGCTTTCCAACAATAATGTTTAGTCAGCCAGCTCTTCTATACAGGTCACAAACTTCGCGCCTGCGTCGAGGAAACCGTTTTCAACAGGCTATTGCAGCCTCCTTCGCTCTATACTGAAGGTCAAATCACCAGCCAGTAAGAATTAGCAACAAGAAACTCTGGGAACGATCCATTCGAAGACAACGAATGTATTCGGCAAGTACTGAAAAGGAAATGGAGATGGATCGTACACACTTTGTGGAAACCTTCAAGTGAAATCACACACTGGGCCGTTGATCAAGACTCAAATAGGAAACGACAAGTTTGACGTTACTTCCAGGATGATATGGAGCATGTCGTGTGAGGGGAGAAAGAAACCTATGAGAAGAGGACTACAGGGAACAGGATAAAGTTGAAGACGTGCTCTGGAAGCCCTATGTTCGACTCGAAAGAGGACAAAAATAAAGCAAAAAATGCTTCGGAGACACGATGCTGAAGGCACACTGGTTTCAGATGACTCTGACAAGTACTTAGTTCAGTGAAAAGTTTCTAAGGCTAAGCAATCAATGAGAATTTGCCGTTCACAAGAAATAAGAAATGCTAAATAGCGCCCTACAAAATGTGGTTATTTCAAGGTATACATAACAAAGAAAAAAACTTTGTTTAAATCAACAAAATATCATACATTTTAGTGAATCGACCGGATAAATGATTTCGGAACATCCATCAAAATTAAACAGATACCAAACGATATCCATTGACAAAATCAATCGACTTAGAAGACCAAAGGATTAGGCTGAGAAATATTTACTTTTCACTTATATCACAGAAACGTTGTCACATGGATGTCTATTTAAGGTCAATCACTAAGCGAACATCCCTCAAGTCAGTTGTCAAACACGAAAGCAATGTGATCCAGAAATTCTTAATACAGGAGACAAAGTTTTTAAAGCATATAAGCTGTATGCCCATTCAGTTAAGATGCTATATTGCTCAGTGCTTTGTGAGTCAATGTGAGAAATCAGAAAGTCAGTTGTCTAGACACCTTGGTTGTTCAGTCATTATCTTTTTAACTTCAGAGTGCATTGATGCATCCTTTGAATCTCGGGAGAAATGGGAATTCAAGGTAAAATTCAAGTCTTGTTTACGAATTACAAAACGTCAAGAAGTTATAGGGTGTCTTGTCAATAAAACTCTATTTTTTTCTGCCTTAAACCATCTGAACTGAATTTCTAATGTGTAGCCCTCTGCACGAATGTGAAGCAGTTCAAGGTGCTGTATTTCAATAAAGGACATATAAAGGAAGAGCACAAAAATGAAATGAGCCTACTACACTAAACGGGAGAAATAAAATTTAGGATTAAATCGATCTGAAATATCAGAAATTGTGAATACATTTGTACCATTGAAGGCAATTTCAAAATCTATCATCAAAAGAATCCAATCACTGAGTTGTGGCATTTCAAGTACCCTACCCAGGTAGCCTATACTTCCCAACATGGCTCAACCTAACATTCACAAATTTCACGGGTTGTTATCATGTTTCGTTTTGACTACCTCTAACCTTTCCAACCCAGCCCTCTGTAAACTGTCATTGCAAAAGATTGTTACGTTTATTGTGTATTGATTGACTTTACCTCCATACTTAGAACTCTATGGACAACTAGTACAAAAGATAGAAGGCAAACACCTATGGCTGAGGAGAGCTAGCCCCTTGGTATCTTTCACTTCCAACAACAATATCTCACTAGGCATAAAGAAGCGCACAGTGAACCTCAGAGATAGCCATATATCACGCCTACCTCATTAACATCTGTTTGAGAATGAAGAAATCATTAGAGCACGATCTGTTTCCTGCGAAAACTAATGACAACTGATCATTCGGTTAATGGTGGCTAGCAGTAGTATCTAGAATGTGTATTTCCTCATGTTAAAGATTCATTAGCTGCGTGATGAAGACATCCAACCAATAATAACAACAGGAAATTACTGACAACAGTAAAATTTGAAGGAAGTCACTTCCTAAACATATCTAGGCAACATCGTCTCCATTACAGGCAGTAAGAATGAAAATTTCAAAACTAACTTGGATCGGAAAAACGGGAAGTCAATAATCTGAAATCAGTGTGAATATCTGCTCTACAGAGCATAAAGAAAAAGATTTGGATCTTCACTACTGATGTCAATTTAGTCAGCGTTGTTTGTACATGGTTCAAAGGAATGTCAAGCTTGTCACGGAAAAAATTTCCAAAAAGGCCACTGTATAGCTTCACCAATAACTGACCCCTTTGCTCAGTAATGCAGATCAAATGACCAGAAATGATTAGCGACAGGGAACTTTAGGAACAAAGCAACTATGATTTTCAAATATTGCTTTGTAAGGATGTAATTGATTGGTTACAGGATATAATCATGAGCAGGCATTGGTTAGAGAACCATTGTAAAACCAGCTGGGAGAACTGAACAGCCAGCTGTTTCGTCAGACTAGTTTGGGACTCTTCATCAGTACGCATCCACCAGGGTTCGATCTCAGGACGTTCTGGTTACAAGGCGAACTCGTAGACCATTAAGTTACTGGGACTCGGTCCAATGTTCCTTGAATTCTAACTTCTACCAATTCAGTCAAGACATAGCGCGACCACTAGCCAATTTCATCAATGGTGATTATTTGTCCTCACACCCAACCTGCTGTACCCTACTGGACACTACCTATGAACCTGTTGCCCAACAAATGTTTTGAAGAATGTGAAAATGGATAGGATATACGCCAAGAAAACTGCTGAGTGACATCCCTAACTAAGCCCTCGAATGGCATTTAGGTGGGAAACGGCCAGTTGTCCTCGGATACCCGGGTGACATGGAAGGGATCATGAGTGGGAGAGATTAGAACTTATGGACAATTAAAGAATCAGTTAAGCAGAACTGCTTTGAACAGTATGCAGTAGAGATGTGCCGTTCAAGTGGAATAATAATATTGACACCCCAGTGATAGGTGATTACATTCCCCACTATGCCACATGTCAAGTGACTCACAACGGAGAACTCAGTGAGGCTTTCGAAGTGCATACATGAGTAAGACAAGGTTACCTGCCTATTATCACCGATGGCATTCTAAATTGTGGTGGAGTGGATTATGCATCAGACGGTTGGAGGCAAGGAGTCTGGCATACGCTGGACCACCGATTAGAAGGCTCTAGAAGATCTGGATTTTGCAGATGATGTGTGTCTAATGTCGAACAAACTTGAAGACTTGCAAGCGAAAACCAACAAATTGGCTGAAGAGACCAGCAACGAAGAAAGGACTCCAATTGAACACAGAGAAGATGGAGGTGATGAAGACAAACGATCAACAGCAAAAATAACAACCAGCCCCAGTCACCACCAATCACAGAGACTTAACAGAGGTCGCCTCCTTCACTTATCTGGCTAGGAAGCATCGTTTCAACCTCAGTCACATGGAACGGACGAAGATGTCAAAGTCAGAATCAGAAAAACAAGATACGCCTTCATCATCCTGAAACCGGTTTGGAAATCTTCTGCACTCAGCCAGCTTAAGGAACAAGATTCGAATTTTCAACACAATTTTGAAGTCGGTTCTTCTATACGCGTGTCACGAAAAGGATTTCCAGCAACCTGTTGCAAATTTTCATCAACAGCTGTCCACTTCACTGTCAGCAAACTGAAGATCAAATGTTCAGAAAGAACAAGCAATAAGAAACTCCGTAGTGGAACAAAGCAAGTGGAACAAGCAAGAGCCGATCACTCAACAAATATGTAGGAGAAAGTGGAGATGGATTGGGCATTGATTGCGGAGGCCGCCGAATGACATTGCAAGCAATGCCGGCCATCGCTCAAGTGGAATGCCAGTGAGAAGCAACGAGTGGGTCGTCGATGTGAGGATGGCATGGAGGAGATCGTGTGAGGAAAAGATGAAAGAGTTTGGTCAATCGTGGATGGTAGAAAACAGAACAAAGTGGAGATCGGTTGTATTGATGAAGCCCTGTGTTCCACTCGGAACGCGAGGGAACAATAATAATAATATAATAATTCCCCACTATAAGACTTAAAATATATTACACACTAAGAGAGACAGTATTAACTTACACACATACCAAAACTTACATGAAACAATGTGCTGCTGTCAATACCCATTGCGGATGTATCAATGTACCACCGCATAGATGAAATCGTCTAGCTCCATCAGGATAATTATAAACAACTGACGGTGGAACGAAATGATTTTCATCATCATCCTCGAGCAATTCATAAAGAGCTGGAAATGCACTACTTGCCTCCTTCTGATTTTTCACTTGTTCAGCTGTCTGATAAAACATTAAAGATGCCAGCCATGGCCATTCCCCGTATGCAGTAGCTATACCACCAACAATACGTTTCCTGATTGTATTACTAAATTGTTGACTCCAAAATTCATCAAATGCATTACGACCACAATGTTCAGGTATTCTTTCTAGTAACATGGAAAAAAATATACAACACCAGATGACTGAAAAATTCATATTCACAACTTGCAATTGACACAGTTCGAATTCCGCTTACAGTGTTACCGGTTCACTCAAGCAGCTAGCCAGAAATTATTTTGATATGATTGTGTTCTCTGAGCTGGATAGTTAATCTGCGAAGCTTTCATCGCCCTACTAGGCGACATCTTCAGCGCATACTTCAATTTGAAGTGAGCTTTCAGATTTCTCCACGAGTTCACTATAAGTCATCTCTCCTGGTGACCTAGGACTTGATTGGTTGTTTTTGTGTGTTTTCACACCTTCTAGGTTATTTGTATTGCAATTCATTTTTTCTTTGACCCTTTGTGTGTGAGGTTTCTTTCTTATCGGTTGATACATTTTGTATATCTCGATGTGTCTACTGATTAATGGTTCACTGGAATGCCAAGATTCTAAAAATTCTCTAGCATTCTTGTTGTTTCCTCTGTCTAATTTTTGAGCGTTGTCCCAGTCGAATCGATGTCCGTGGTTGTCTGTATGTAGTGATATGAGGGAGTGGATGTCATGTCTTTTGACAGCTAGCTTATGTTCGTGGATACGAAGACGAAGGGGACGTTCACTTTGACCAATGTAGTGTTTTTCGCAGTTGATACAATCTATTTTGTAGATGATGTTGGTTTTATCTTCCTATGCTGTTGAGTCTTTTGGTTGACACAGGACTGGTTGAGTGAAGTGACTTTGTGACCACATCGAGACGGACAAAAATGTATCAACCGATAAGAAAGAAACCTCACACACAAAGGGTCAAAGAAAAAATGAATTGCAATACAAATAACCTAGAAGGTGTGAAAACACACAAAAACAACCAATCAAGTCCTAGGTCACCAGGAGAGATGACTTATAGTGAACTCGTGGAGAAATCTGAAAGCTCACTTCAAATTGAAGTATGCGCTGAAGATGTCGCCTAGTAGGGCGATGAAAGCTTCGCAGATTAACTATCCAGCTCAGAGAACACAACCATATTAAAATCATCCATCTAAGCTACAAAACCTCGCCTAGATTACTAGGTCACTAGTATTCTAGCCGGTCCCAAGCCCGGATAAAGAGGGAGGGTTGGGGCGTGGTGCTAGCAACTCCACCCCCAAAACTTAACCAAATTGCTACTAAAACTTCAACGCACAGATATATTAAAAATACTAAATACATAAACAATAACCTTATTTTTCGCTGGAATCGGGGAAGTGAAATGACGCGGGCTGGTGAAAGCCTTCGGGAAGCCAGTCAGCCGATGTGCCTTCTTTCGATGAAAGCGAAAATAAGGATGGGGACGTGGAATGTTCGTACAATGTACGAAGCTGGGAAGGCTGCTCAGGTAGCCGCAGAAATGAGAAGATATAGAATAGAATTGTTGGGAATCTGCGAGAGCAGATGGAACGGATGTGGAAGGAGCCAACTATCAACTGGAGAGACAATAATCTACTTCGGTCACCCAGAGGACAATCACGAGCACACCGAGGGAGTAGCCATCATGATGTCACCAACAGCGGCTAAAGCTCTCATGCAGTGGGAACCAATCTCCTCCAGGATAATAACAGCCAGGTTCAACTCAAAAGGAAAAAAGGTTACAATCATTCAATGCTACGCGCCTACAAACGCCTCAGAACATGAGAAGAAGGAGGATTTCTACAGTCAACTACAAACAGTAATGGACAACGTCCCAAAGAGCGATATCAAAATCCTGATGGGCGACATGAATGCGAAACTGGGAGGAGACAATACAGGAAGAGAACTCACCATGGGTCGTGAGGCCCTCGGTGAAATGAACCAAAATGGCGAACTCTTCTCAGACTTCTGCGCCTTCAATGATTTGGTGATTGGTGGCAGTGAGTTCAGACACAGGTATATACACAAGGCGACATGGATTTCACCAGATGGACACACCAAAAACCAGATAGACTTCATTTCAATCTCAAGGAAGTGGAGACGGAGCCTACTGGACACAAGATCGAGGAGAGGAGCAGATGTGGGTTCAGACCACTATCTAGTACAAGGGACTTTCAAGGTGAAGCTGAAAGTCTCGAAGACAGCTGGGGATAGGCCACAATGCAAGTTCAACACTCAAAAACTGAAGGACACAATCACAAAAGACATTTTCACTGCAACTGTCAGAGCAAAGCAGGAAACATTACGTGACATCACAGAAGAATCATGCGTGGAAGACCATTGGAACTCTCTGAAGGTAATTTTCAACGAAACGTGCTCAACGGTTTTAGGAAGAAAGAAGAAACAAGACAAGGAATGGCTCTCAACAGACACTTGGAAACTAATAGAGGAGAGGAGAAAAAAGAAAGAGAAAATGATTCAATGCAAAGATGGACAAGAGAAAGAGACGCTGAACTCAACTTACACAGCACTGGACAAAGAAGTGAAGAAGAGTGCCAGGAAGGACAAAAGACAATTCTACGACAACCTGGCTACTGAAGCTGAGAAGGCAGCAGGCAAAAGGGACCTGAGGACACTATATCAGATAACCAAGTCTCTATCCGGGAAGAGATCAACACAAGTGAAACCTATAAAAGACAACCAAGGGAACCCAATTACCAAAGAAGAAAGACAGATTAAACAATGGGCGGACCACTTCAAAGGACTCTTGAACCGACCACCACCTACAACCCGTCCAGTAATACCAACAACAGCACGTACACAACTGCAAGTTGACACCAATCCTCCAACGAAAACTGAAGTCATGAATGCAATCAAGCTTCTGAAAGCTGGAAAAGCAGCTGGACCAGATGGAATACCCCCGGAAGCACAGAAAGCGGACCCAGAAACGACGGCAGATATGCTGACTCCATTATTGCAAAAGATCTGGAAAGAGGGAAAGGTGCCTACTGACTGGAGGAAAGGTTACCTGGTGAAACTACCAAAGAAGGGCGACCTGGGACTCTGCAAGAACTGGCGAGGAATCATGCTCCTGTCGACGCCAAGTAAAATTCTGAGTCGCATCATCCTGGAGAGAATCAAGGACGCGCTGGATACAGAACTCCGACCAGAACAAGCTGGATTCAGGAAAGGCAAATCATATTCTGACCAAATTGCAACTCTACGCATTATCATCGAACAAAGCATGGAATGGCAATCAAATCTCTACCTCAACTTCATAGACTTTGAGAAGGCCTTCGACAGCGTTGACCGCGAAGTAATTTGGAAACTACTCGAGTACTACGGCGTACCCCAAATATTCATCAACCTTATTCAACAACTGTACGACAACGGCACATGTCAAGTGATCCACAACGGAAAACTCAGCGAAGCGTTTGGAGTAAACACAGGAGTCAGACAAGGGTGCTTATTATCACCAATGATATTCCTAATTGTGGTGGACTGGATTATGCACCAGACAGTGGGAAACGAGAAGACAGGGATATCCTGGACCGACGTGAAGAACCTAGAAGACCTGGATTTCACGTGTGGATGATTTATGTTTGATGTCACACAAAATCGAAGACTTACAAGCAAAAACCGACAAACTGGTCGAAGAAGCAGCTGGTGAAGACAGGACTCCAGGTGAACATAGACAAGACGGAGGTTATGAAAATAACCAACCAACAACAGCAGCAACATCCAGTGCCAATCACCATCAACGGGAGGGATTTGAAAGAGGTTACTTCTTTCACTTATCTGGGGAGCATTGTCTCAACCACAGGAGGAACGGACGAGGATGTCAAATCGAGAATCGGGAAGGCGAGAAACACATTCATCAACCTGAAACCAATCTGGAAATCTTCGTCACTCACCATCAACAACAAAATTCGGATTTTCAATACAAACGTCAAGTCAATTTTGCTTTACGGATCAGAAACTTGGCGGGTCACCAAGAATATTTTCAACAGCCTGTTGCAGACCTTTATCAACAACTGTCTTCGCTCTATACTGAAGATCAGATGGCCAGAAAGAATCACAAACAAGAAGCTATGGGAACAAACGAAACAGGAACCAATCGCCCAACAAATATGCAGGAGGAAGTGGAGATGGATTGGACACTCGCTGAGGAGGCCGTTGAGTGACATCGCGCGTCAAGCCCTCGAGTGGAACCCGAAAGGGAAGCGGCGAGTGGGACGTCCAAGGGTGACATGGAGGAGATCGTGTGAGGAGGAGATGAAACAGTATGGAATAACATGGACGCAAGTGAAAAGAACAGCAGAAGACAGAAGCAAGTGGAGACGTGCAGTTGAAGCCCTATGTTCCACTAGGAACCCAAGGGAACAATAATAATAATAATAATCTGAGCTACAAATCTTCTCTATCATAACCAGAAATTAGGTAAAGGTATGAATTAATTTGGCTCTCTGAGCTGAATGATGATGAGAATCGCCACACACAAGTAAAACAGCCGTCTAGTGTTTTTGGATCACCTTGATTTAGCAAGCAAGCATTACTGGTTGATGTGAGTGGTATCCTACTACTCATATCCATCATCAATCAGTAGTATACAGTTTTCGGTAAAAAAGTGTTAGCCAAAATTATTTTTGTGTATATTTGTTAAGGAGAAAATTGAGAAACTTCATACACACAGTACGGTTGATTAGTTTCAACAAATAAAGGCCGAATACATATTTGCAGATGGGGATTATACGAGCTGCAGAATGACAGCAAGATTCAACTCAAAATGAAGGAAGGTCACAATTATCCAATGCTACGCACAGTGCTACAAGCAACGCGGAACAAGCGAAGAAGGAAGATTTTTACAGGCATCTACAAACAGTAATGGACGAAATCCCTGGTGATGACATTAAAATCCCTATGGGCGATGCGAATATAAGCAAAACTGGGGGCAGATAACACAAGAAAAGAACTCACTATGGGTTGACAGGCTGTGGGAGAAATGAATGAGAACCGGGAACTCTTCGCAAAATTCTGCACCTTCAATGATTTGATAATCGAAAGCAGCGTGTACAAGTACAAGATTATACACAAAGCAACGTGGATTTTGCCTGACGTACACACC